AAAATACAAAGGATGATACAAGAATGGTATGAAAGGCATATGGCACTAAATCTGATAACCTGGAAGGAGACAAACTTTTAGAAATATATAACTTTCCTAGGCTGAATCACAAAGAATTGAAAAACCTACATAAACTGATGAACAGTCAGGAAAATGAAACAGTACTCAAAAACCTCCCAAAAAACAAAAGTCCAGGACCAGATGACTTTACTTGTGAATTCTACTGAACATTCAAAGATTTAATGCCTACCCTCAAACCCTCCCAAAAAATTTTAGAGGAACTACTTCCTAACCCACTTTATGAGGCCAGCATTACCCTGACACCAACATCAGGCAAGGACAACACAAGCAGACATTCACCACACACAAATTATGAGCCAATATCTCTAATGAACATAGATGCAAAAATCCTCAACAAAATACTTAGCATATTGAATCAATAATAGATTAAAAAGATAATACAATCATGTGGTGTTCATTCTACGGACATAAGAATGGTTCAACACATGCACATCAATTAATGTGATACATAGCACTAACAACATGAAAGTTAAAAATCATGATCATATCAACAGATGAAGAAAAAAACGTCTGACCAGATACAATACCCATTTCTGATTAAGGCGCTCAATAAAATGGGTGTGGAAGGAAAATACCTCAACCTAACAAAGATCGTATACAACAAACCCTCAGTAATTAGCACGCCCGATGGTGAAAAACTGAAAGCTTTTCTCTAAGATCAGGAACGAGACTAGGCTGCCCACTCTCACCAATGTTATTCAACATTGTACTGAAAATCCTAGACTGAGGAATCAGGAAGGAGAAAGAAGTAAAAGGCATCTAAATTGAAAATAAAAAAGTGAAACTGTCACAATTTGCAGATGACACGTTTCTGATAAAGTAGTTAGGCAGGCACACAGAGTAGGAACATAGGCCAAGTACAGAATGTCACCAAGGTGGAAAATCCCGGGTTACCTAGCAACAAACAAAACTGGGAAAAACAGGTATTATAGGCTAGGACCTTACCCCCAGGGTGGTCTTTCCACCCACAGCAGATAGCTACTCATGCAGTGTGGACCCCCTGACCTTTCATATTGCTGGTCATGCAGCTTAGACCCCTTAGATGATGAACAAGGGGGCTGGAGTGTAGTCCACAGACTCCCATGTATGATCGCCCCCTTAGGCATTAAACCCTCAGAACAATGAGGTCCTGATCAGCAGCAAATAGTCCCAGGAACAAAGCCTCGGCTCTGTTAACCACAGATAAAGAATTTTGGTCAAACTAGAGATAACATCTAGGCCTCAGTTGTGTTTCAGCTCCAGAGCCAGAAAAGCTATAAAACCAAATGAAGTGATGCCATGGCTGACATCGGAATGCAATGACTAATGACCCTTTACTCTAGCACTGACCATCAGAGAACATGACCCTGAAAAAACACATTTGGAAAACCGATGTATATTCTGCTGAGATTCTCACCTGACATCTCCCCTAAAATCCCCACTTCTTGAAAACAGATAAAAACCCTTCAGATGAAGGACCCAGTGCACACTAGCTCTCTCTTGAGCCTGTCTGCACCTTCCCTGCCTTGGTTCCATAGGCTCTCGCTCTCCTCTCTCTCTCACACCCACACCTTTCTCCACCCCCTTCTTTCTTCAGGCACGCTCTCTCCAGAGCACCGCCTTCCCCCTCTTCTTCCCTTGGGTGCATTATCTTTGCTTTCTTTCTCTTAAGCTCCAAGGGCCCATCTTTCGCTGCTATAACTTGTTTCCTGAACCCATGCTGCCCAGCTGGCTCACTTCTTCTACCTCTGTGACTTAATAAACTTATCGTGGTAGAATTCTTGGCTCTGAATTCTTTCTTAGCCAAACTTAGTGACAGAGATCTAACTCCACAGTTAACAATTCTATACATAGAACACCCTAAAGACACTCAAAAGACTTTTGATAGAACATCAAAAGACTATTTAAAAAATTAACAAATATAGTAAAGTTACAATATATAAAGTCAATGTACAAAAAAATCTGTTATGTTACTATATACTAACAATGAAATAATGGAAAAAGAAATGAAGAAAACAATCCCACTTGCAACAAAAAGGATAAAATATAGGAATAAACTTCATGAAGGAAGTGAAGGACCTATGCATCCAAAGCTACAGGACACTGTTGAAAGAAACTGAAAACAGAAAAGTAAGGATATTCTGTGTTCATGAATTGGAAGAACTAACATAGTTAAAATGGCCATATTACCTAAAGCAATATACAGATCTACTACAATTCCCACCAAAATCCCCAATGGTATTTTTCAAAAAAATAGAACAAAAAAAATAATCAATTTGTATGGAACCCCCCCAAAACCCCAAACAGCCAAAGCAATCTAAGAAAAAAAGAACACAGCTGAAGATATCACATTCCCTGATTTCAAATTATATTACAAAGCTAAAATAATCAAAACAGTATGATACTGGCAGAAAAAGAGACATACAGATGAATGAAATACAATTGAGAGCCCAGGAATAAACATATATGTACAATTAGCTTTCAACAAAGAACCCAAAAGCATACAAGTAGAAAGGAAAGCCTCCTTAATAAATGGTGGTGGGAAAACTGGAAAGCCACACACAAAAGAATGGAACTAGAATGCTATCTGACACCACACACAAAAACTAACGCAATGGATGCAGGGGTGTCCAACCTTCTGGAGTCTCTATGCCACACTGAGAGAAGAAGAGTTGTCTAAGGCCACATATTAAACACATAGACTCTAATAAAAACTGATGAGCAAAAAAAGGGTTTAAGTAAATTTATGATTTTTGTGTTGGGCTGCATTTATAGCCATCTTGGGCTGTGTGTGGCCTACGGGCCACAGGTTGGACACCCTGGCATTAAAGACTTAAATATAAGACCTGAAAAAATAAAATACATAGAAAAAACACATAGGCACTAAACTTATGGTTCTTGGTCTCAGAGGGGTTTCTGTGAATTTGACCCTAAAAGCAAGGAAAGTAAAAGCAAAAATAAATGAATGGCACTACATCAAAATAAAAGCTTCTGAAAAAAATTTAAAAAAAAATAAAAGCTTCTGCATAGCAAAAGAAATCAACAAAAGGGCAACTAATAAAATGGGAGAATATATTTGCAAACGTTACCTCCCAAATATACAAAGGACTCATACACCTTAACAACCACAACCCTCCCAAAAAACAATGCAATTAAAAAATGGGCAGAGGACCAGAACAAGCACTTTTCCCAAGAACACATACAGATGGCCAACAAACAGATGAAAAGATGCTCAACCTCACTGACTGTACAGTAAATGCAAATCAAAACCACAATGACATACATCTAACACCTGTTAGGATGGCTAGTTATCGGTAAGACAAAAATAACAAGTGTTGGAGAGGGTGTGGTGAAGGGAGAACCTTGCACACTACTGTTAAATAGGCGCAGCTGCTATGGAAAACAGTAAGGAGGCTCCTCAAAACACTCAGAGCAGAACTACCACATGACCCAGCAATCCCTCTTCTGGGTATCTTACCCCTCAAATTTGAAAACTTACTCTTAAATGATACATGTACCCTATGTTCATTACAACATTATTCATGATAGCCAAGTTATAGAACAATTTAAGTGTCCATCAGATGACTGGATAAAGACGACATGGCACATACATATACAATGGAATACTACTCAGTCATAAAAAATGATGCATGGATATTGAGAGTGTCATGCTAAGTGAAATAAGCATATGCCAGATGGAAAACGACAAGAATCATATGATTTCACTCACACATGGGATATGAAACAGAAAGCAATGAACAAATAACACAAAATAAAAACATATGGATACAGACACCAGTATGGCGGTCACCACAGGGACAGGGGACCAAACACATGGTGACCGAAGGAGACTAGATTCTGGGTGGTGAGCTCACAATGCAACACACGGAGGTTGTATTACACAACCTGAAAACTTGTATAATGTTATCAACCTATGTTACCCTGATAAAGTCAATTTTTAAAAAATGATGAGGTAGTTAAAAATACTAGGAAAAAAGAAAACAATTTAGTGCCTTCCTTGCAATATAATGAATACAATTACAAACAACCATTAAACTCACCAAAATAGAGTTATAAAATTCAATAATAACAAAACTGGAAAAATAGGTTCACTTAAATATATTGCTGGTAGTGCTGTAAACTTTTTTTTAGAAAACAATTTAATAACAAATTTAACAAAAACTATCAAGACTGTTCTTTTCCACTCATGAAGTATTCTTTGATTGGCTAATGCTGCTTTGGGGCACATGTGCCATGAGAGTAACCTCAGTAACAATAGCAACAGAAAGAAAGGGGCACCGAGACGTGCAGTGCTATTTACCAAGCCAACTCATCCATACACCAGGTAGTAGAAGATTCAAACAAATTGTAGCATAGAGCCACAATACAATGGTTATTAAAACTGAAAATTATGTACACTAAGTCAATACTCAGAAATATGTACATGTTTTACATATTTAAAAACAATATAGAATCATTGATTACAACTATGTAAAGTATGTATTTTTACTGACAAAGATTAGAAATTAATGTGGAATGATGCAACTTCACAATTTTTAAATTCTTACTTTGTAAGGTTTAAATTCACGACAGACAAAATAAATATAAAAGATCTAACAGGCTATCCTAAAAAAACCGAAGACTTTAACTTTACATTCTAGTAACTATGCATTTCACAAGGTAAGTAAAGCTTGTAAAACTTACGCCTTTTGTCTCACATCTTATCCAAACCTACTCCATCCAGTTTTATTAAGACATATATAGTGTTCAATAATAACTCACCTTTGATCTAATGGGGTTTTCAAAAAGAGAAAGACAACTACTTACAAAAAACAAAAGGGATTTTGAAAATTTTCCGCATTAAACGAACTTCTGTGAACTGTCTACATTACTCACTCACACACAGTGTGCCCGGAAACTGCGAACAGGATCACACTCACCTGACGCGATGACAGGGTCCTGCATGAGCTCCCTAGTGATTGGGCATATGAATTCATCAGGAATTTCAGAAGAAAGAGTTTTCACCTGTGTCCTGAGCTCTTCAATTTTCCTCAGAACTTTGCTACGCAGCCCTAAAGATTCTAAAAAAGAAAATACTCTGTTAGAACTGGAGAACTACTGGTAAACTTTATGCAAATCTTTAGTTAACAGAGGAAGATTTTTATCTACTAGAAGCAAAAATCTTCAGACATAATGTTTATGACATATAACTGTTTTCTTTATAAATTCTTTCATGAATTTTTTTATAGTATAGAGTACTGTGTGGTTAATATAAATCAACAACTAATAGATTGTTTATTCTGTGTTTAAAAAAGGTATTATTTTTAGAGAGAGAGGGAGGCAGAAAGGGAGAAAAACACCAATGTGTAAGAGTTACACTGTTTGCCTCTCACACACCCACAACTGGGGACCTGGCCCACAATCCATACATGTGCCCTGACTGGGAATCGAAATAGTGACCTTTCAGTTCGCAGACCAGCACTCAATCCACTAAGCCAACCAGCCAGGGAAATAAACTGTCTATTCTAAACAACCTTAGATTCCGAAAGTTCCTCAAGAATTTTAGAGTGCTGAACACTAATTTATGATACAAAATCAGAAAATGCTCATTATTAATGGTTATTTAGATAACAAAAAAATTTTCTGAACATAAATTTTAAAGATATTCAGCTTAAAAATGTAAAAATTCCATCTTATGTTTTTAAACTATGAAATTGGATATATTTGTTATTCTCAAATGAAACATCACAAATGAAGTTCATCTGTTTGTCTAAGACTGTACACACAAGTTTCATTCATTTGTATTTTTACTTTTACCTAAGTTTTAAAAATTCTTAATTTTTAATTTCAGAAAGTGTAGTGTTATTAGCTGTTTACATGTTTAGAACAATCTAACAGTTCTACTTGAGGTGAAGGTGCTTGGGGAGATGTGGGTAGGAGAATTACATTCCGGAAAGCCCAACAGTTCCCACAAAAAGCCGCATCAGTTTTCTTTCTGTTGGCAAACATCCTTGGAAACTAGATATAATATCTCCCTTCCAGTCGGAGGGTAGATCTGTTTCCAGGTAAGTAAAAAGATGTCCTCCTCTTTAGCTGGTTTGCTAGAAATCCCCTTATAAGACTGGAGGGGATGGGTGGGTAGGGGCTTAAGTTTCCTCAGCTGTGACACAAAAATTGGCTCCAAGAGGCTGGAAATGGGAACCAATCTGAACGTGAAGCTCACGCTCCGCTGCTGTGCCACAGCTGTTTAAATCTGTCTGGACTCTGACCACGTCTAAGGAGCGTGGCAAGTCAACCCAGCAGCTGCCTGCCTCTCAGACTCTGCTTCACTGCTTTCCTGTGACTTATTTCCTATGTAATTCACTGAAACCAAACTGAGGATTTGTTAAATAATTTTTTATTTCTATTTTGCAGCTCCAAATTTACTGAAGATTTTTTTCCAACAAATCAGATGAGAAAAAGAAAATGTGTTAAAATAACTGAACATTAATGTTATGTATTATGTTTTGTTTGATATATGAAAACATTTATGATATATAAAACATACCTAGGAGATAAGGAAAGAAGTTCATTAATTTGCGAGCCCTAAAATTACAATGGCAGCTCTAATGAATCTCACAAGCCATGTGGGGTCCTCTAAACAGATCAGAGGTCTCAACTTTGGCTTTTTCTTAAAAATCATATGGGAGCTTTGGTTTTTATTTTTATTAATTTTTTCTTGTGTCTATGAGTTTAATTTGTTGAATTTACTAACTTTCCAAATCTTAAAGAGATGCAAATTAAAACCACAATGAGATAGCACCTCACACAGGTCAGAATGGCCATCATTAACAAATCAACAGGTGAGTGCAGGTGAAGTTGTGGAGCAAAGGGAACCCTGTTGCACTGTTGGTGGGAATGCAGACTGGTGCAGCCACTGTGGAAAACAGTATGGAATTTCCTCAGAAAACTAAAAATGGAACAGCCTTTTGACCCAGCAATTCCACTGCTGGGAATATACCCTAAGAACCCTGAAACACCAATTCAAAAGAACCTATGCACCCCAATGTTCACAGAACCACAATTTATAACAGACAATAGCTGGAAACAGCCTAAGTGCCCATGAATGAGTGGATCAAAAAACTATGGTACATTTACACAGTGGAATACTACACAGCAGAAAGAAGGAACTCCTACCCTTCAAGACAGCATGGATGGAACTGGAAAGCATTAAGCTAAGTGAAGTAAGCCAGGTGGTAAAAGACAAATACCATATGATCTCACCTATGAGTTGAACCTAATTAAGAAAACAAACAAGCAAGCAAAATAGAACCAGAGATTGAAATAATGAACAAACTGACAACAACCAGGGGGAAGAAGGGAAAGGGATATAACAGGTGACAAAAGGGGAAGGCCCATCAAGGAACATGTATAAAGGACCCATGGACAAAGCCAAAGGGGGTAAGATTGAGGGTGGGAAGTAGAGGTTGGTATGGCAGGGGGAAAATGGAGCAGGTGTACTCGAACAACAATAAAAAATAAAAATAAAGCCCTGGCTGGTGTAGCTCAGTGGACTGAGCGCGGGCCTGCAAACCAAAGTATCGCGGTTCGGTTCCCAGTCAGGGCACATGCCTGGGTTGCAGACCAATTCCCTGCAGGCCAGTTTCCAGCAGGGTATGCACGAAAGGCAACCATACATTGATGTTTCTCTCCTTCCCTTCCTCTCTAAAAGATAAATAAATAAAATTTAAAAAAATAAAAATAAAAAATAAAAATTAGAAGTTAAAAAAACCCAGAAACACAAAGCAGATATCTTGTTTACTAGAGAATATGCAACATTTTGGTGTCTGTTTCTAGTAACAATTTTCCTAATTCAGCTATTAGATCACCATATAACTTCAATTGTATTTCGATTTTAGTTTGGGCCTGAAACTTCCTACTGAGCTTCTTTTGGGGGTCACACTGCTCTGAAATTAGGTAGTGGTGTATATAGTAAAAGTTACTGAATTTTACACATAGAAATGACTTGACCACTGAAAATTACAGAATACTGTTGAAAAAAATTTTAAAAGGCCTGAACAGAAAAATATCCCATGCCTATGGATTGCAAAATTTGGTAACTGTTAGGATGACAGTAATCCTCAGGTTGATCCACAAATTCAATATTAATTCCTGTGAATATCAGGTGGCTTTTTTTTTTGCAGAAATTGAAATTTTGCATCAAATTCATATGGAAATACAAGAGACCCAGAGTAGCAAAATCAATCTTGGAAAACAAAAACAAAGATGCAGAACACACACTTTTTAATTTCAAAATTACTACAAAGCCACAGTAATTAAACAGTGTGGTACTAGTATAACAGACACATAAATCAATGAAATAGAACTGGGAGTGCAGAAATAAACCCTAACATTTATAGTCAATTGATTTTCAACAAGGTACCAAGATAATTCAAAAGGGAAAGAACAGTCTTTTCAACAAATGGGGTTGGACAACTAGGTACCCACATCTAAAAGAATGAAGCTGGACCTCTACTTCATACCATTTACAAAAATTAAGTCAGAAATTGATCGCACACCTAAATCTAAGTGCTAAAACTGTAAAAGTCATAGAATAAAACATAGGTGTAAATCTTTGGTACTTGAGATTGAACAATGGTTAGATAATATACCTATAGCACATGCAACAAAAACAGACAAACTGGACTTTATCAAAATTTAAAACTTTTGTGTAGTAAAGGAAGAAAATAATTATAAACCATGTATCTGATAAGAATCTAGTATCCAAATTTATACATAAACAACTCAACAATAAAAAGACAACCTAGTTTTTTTATATGGGCAAAGGATCTGAATAGACATTTCTCCAAAGAAGATATACAAATGGCCAAGAAGCCCACTAATCATCAGAAAAATGCATATCAAAAGCACAATGACGAACCAATAGGATGGCTATAATTTAAAAAGCAAACAAGTGTTGATGATACGGAAGAACTGGAATCCACATGCATTGCTAGTGAGAAAGTAAATAACACAGCATAGCTGCTTTGGCAAACAGTCTGGCAGTTCCTCAAATGTAAGCACAGAGCCATCATTGGACCTGCCAATTCCATTCCTAGTTATGTCCCAGAAAACTGTGAACAGATGCCCACACAATTAGGCATGAATGTTCCTGACAGCATTCTTCACAATAGCTAAAAACTGAAACAATCTAAATTCAATGAAGTGATGAATGGATGAGCAAAAAGTGATAAACTTATATAATGGAATATTATTCAGTCATAAAAAGAAACAAAGTGCTAACATATACTACAACAAGGATACACCTTGAAAACTTGCTAAGTAGAGGAAGCCAGACACAAGGCCGTATATTACATGACTCCATTTGCATGAAGTGTCAAGAAGAGGTAAATCCTTAGACAGAAAGTAGTCTAGAGGTTGCCAGGGCCTAGAGAGAAAGGGAATAAGTGACTACTAATAGGTGTGGAGTTTCTTTTTGAAGGGATGAAAATGTTTGAAATTAGATAGTGGTGGTAGTTATATAACTCCATAAATATATTAAAAACTACTTATAAAAGGGTACATTTTTATCATGTTAATTATATGCCAAAAATTTTTTTAAAACATGTTTTATTTTTAATTTTTAATTATAGTTTGTTTATGGTATTACAGTTGTCCCAAATTTTCCCTCCACAGTGCCCCTACTCCCTCAGGCAATCCCCACACCACTGACCATGTCCACGGGTCCTGCGTATACGTTCTTTGGCTACTCTATTCCCTATTCCCTACTTTACATCCCCATGACTGTTCTGTTACTACCAATTTGTAATTCTTAATCCCTTCACCTTTTTATCCATACTCCTACCCCTGACACCCTCCCATATGGCACATGGCAACCATATATTTTAAGTTGATTATATTGGAGTGACACTGGCTAATTGACTATCTAGGTTTCAGGGCTACAGTTCTACATCTGTACAGTGTATTGTGTGCTCACCACCCAAGTCAAGTCTCCTTCCATGACCACTTCTCCCCCTTTACTCTCTCCTGCCTCTTCCATCCCCCTTTCCATATAGTAATTACCATACCATTGTCTGTCTATGAAGCAGGTTTTTTTTTTTTTTGCTTAATCCCTTCACCTTTTCAACCCAGCCCCCACCCCCGAAATGACAGTTACATGGTGGCTTTAGTTACCTAAATATTTATTTTACATAACCCAGCAATTTTCAGCCAGTGTGCTGTGGCACACTAGTCTGCCACAAGAACTTTTAAAACCTGCAGTACCTGACTGTTTAGTCAGGGGCACGGACCTCTTTTCCCTTAGACTGTCAAATAAAAAAGTGACAACAGCCAATACAACAACAGCTGCCTGGTATGACCGAATCAAAATTATACTCATTTTCTGTTAGATGGGCAAAAAATATAATACAGCTTTTGGTGTGCCACGGAATTTTAGTAATTAGTTTGTGTGTGCCACGAGATGAAAAAGATTGAAAATCACTGCCCAACCCTAATAAACATATATTGTCCTATACAAAGACATAATCTTCCACTCATCTTACCAATTTTCAAATCATCAGCCAGACTTTCTTTTGTAAGATTCAACAGTTCTTTCCCATCAATGTTATTCATTTTGAAAACGCCAACAAGGTCTTTTAACTCCTGTGCACAAAGCCACGTTGAGACGTCATCTTCTGACCAATCTTCCGTAAACGGCTTCAGTTGATCTTCTGTGCTCCTTGCTTCAAAACAAACCAAAAACCCCACGAAAAAGGCAAGTAAAATAACAACAAATGAAAGAAAAACTGTTTCCTTTATAAACAGTCTCACTTTGTCCTCAAATCTGTGTTTTACCGTTTTAATATCCCTTAAAAATTTTCAGAAAATCAAATAGCGTGTATAATTAAAGGAGTATTTAATACATTAAATACTATTTTGGAATCTTTTTACTGAATAAAAACAATTTTTCTTTACTATATAAAATTCTTATCAGCAAAGGCATTCTTTTGGTTCTATCGCCTGCATATCAGCACCACTATGTGGTTAATTCTGGCCGCAATTTTAAAAAACTCTTAAATTATGTCAATGTTGCTTGCTGGGGACAAAAATAAAACTATTTCTATTCTGTTTGCAGGCTATATTTATCTGAAAAAATAAGTGTGAAATATAAATAATAAGCTTACAAAACTAAGTGTTATATACACGCATGTGTGTCCAAACTATTTACCAAGAGTTCTAACGAGTCAACTCTTTATCACTGTTTTCTCTAAAATTATCTTTAAATTATATTCAGTATGGATGTATACTTTATATTAGAAAAAGCAATGTTAATGATTTGTCAAAGATACTGAATTTCTAATTTTAAAGGTGAAAGGATTTGAACTGCGTTAAATACATTGTCCTCACTAACCTTGGCAGAGTGTTTCCGGGTCAAATTGCCAGATGTTTACAGTTTTGTCCATTGAACCAGTAGCGAGTAGAAGGATATTGGGTGCAAAGGCACAAGTTGTGACATACCTAGTTAATAAAAACAACTATTATATACCCTTAGACTACTGTTTTAATTGTATTAGTACAAAGTGGGGTTAAGTTCAGACCTGGTATGCTGAGTCAACGTGTGAAGTATATTCTCAGTATTCTGGAGGGAAAAAAAGAAAACAGCTTTAAATTTACTCAGGCACAACTTACTAATAAAAATTTGTTTGACATAAATGGTTTATATGCTCTATGTATTTTAACATTGTTATTAGTACTAATATAGATTGAAACTTCACCCAATGAATAAAGAATAGAAACTATCCCTAATAATATCAGATACCGGTTTCACTCTGTTTTAATAACCAGCACTGTCGTCTATAAGAACTGCCCCAGAAATTTCTAGGGCAATTTTTTTGTGTACTCCAGGCTTTTGGTGATTTGTTTGAACTTACTAATAGTAACCTAAACATCTATAACATGAAATAATTTGTATTTCTGCTATGGCATTTGACTCGCACCCACTGAGGGACCGGTGAGTAAAAATAAGTCACTTAGATTCCGAGCACACTTAGCTGGCCATCCAACATCTAGCTGTATATAACAGATTCATATATGTATTTTATGGAAAAAATTAATGTTATAATTGTTTTTGTAAATGTAAAATCCCATGACAATTTCATCAGGATCTTTAAGGATCTACTTTATGTCATGTGAGTATTCTTCCCCAATTCCTGCCAGAACCCTCAGTAATGCGAACTTCTACATGGAGGATTACTTCCTTACTTAACCCAAACACTTTTGTTTTCAGTATATTTTATTGATTATGTTATTACAGTTGTCCCATTTTTCTCTCCCCTTTATTCCCCTCCGACCTGGACCCCACCTCCTACAAGCATTCCCCCCTCTTAGTTCATGACCATGGGTCGTATGACTTTTACATTTCCTATACTATACTTAACCTCCCCCTGTTTTGTACTTACCATTTATGCTTATTTCCTGTACCTTTTCCCCCTTTTGCCCCCCTCAAAGTCCCCACTGATTACCTTCCATATGATCTCCATTACTGTGACTCTGTTCCTGTTCTAATTGTTTGCTTAGTTTTTGTTTTGTTTTTTAGGTTCAGTTGTTCATAGTTGTGAGTTTGTTGTCATTTTACTGTTCACAGTTTTGATCTTTTTCTTAGGTAAGTCCCTTTAACATTTCATATAATAAGGGCTTGGTGATGATGAACTCCTTTAACTTGACCTTATCTGGGAAGCACTTCATCTGACCTTTCATTTAAATGATAGCTTTGCTGGATAGAGTAATCTTGGATATATGTCCTTGCCTATCATGACTTGGAATACTTCTTTCCAGCCCTTTCTGGCCTGTAAGGTTTCTTTTGAGAAATCAGCTGATAGTCTTATGGGAACTCTTTGTAGGTAACTATGCCCTTTTCTCTTGCTGCTTTTAAGATTCTCTCCTTATCTTTAATCTTGGGAAATTTAATTATGATGTGTCTTGGTGTTTTTCTCCTTGGATCCAGATTCTTTGTGACTCTCTGAGCTTCCTGGACTTTCACGTCTGTTTCCTTTGCCAGATGGGGGTAGTTCTCCATTATTTGTTCAAATAAGTTTTCAATTTCTTGCTCTTCCTCTTCTCCTTCTGGCACTATAATTTGGTTGTTGGAACGTCTAAAGTTGTCCCAGAGGTTCCTATGCCTCTCCTAATTTTTAAAAAATTCTTGTTTCTTCATTCTGTTCTAGTTGAATGTTTATTTCTTCCTTCTGGTCCAAATCGTTGATTTGGTTCCTGGTTTCCTTCCCTTCATTGTCAGTTCCCTGTACATTTTTCTTTGTATGTCTTTTTGCACAGCCTTCACTTTTTCCTCTATTTTATGACCATAGTCAACCACTTTTGTGAGTATATTGTGTTTTGACCTCCGCATCTGTAAGGTTCTCTGTCTCTTCATTACTTAATTCTCAGCAGTTTTGATCTGTTCTTTCATTTTGTCCATATTTCTTTGTCCTGGGGGCCTATTGTGTTCTAAGGGGCAGAGCCTTAGTATTTGCCATCTCAGGGCAACTCAGGTTGTTGTGCTGTGGTGCTGTATGTTGGAGAGGGGTCAGAGAGGAAACAATATTGCTTGTTCAGCTTTCGGCTGGCTTTCTGCTACCCACAAGCAAATTGAGTTCTTCTGGTGCTGATTCACAGGTGGGTGGGTTTGTATATGTTCTAGGACCCTGTGGGTCTCTCCAACAAACTCTCCTCTGAGGCTGGGAGTTTCTCCCACTGCCCCAACACCCACAGGTTTTTATAGCCAGAGGTTTTGAGGCTTTCTTTTCCCACACTGGAACCCTGGGTTGAGTGATCTAATTTCTGAGTTGTTCCTTTCGGTTTATCTACACATGAATGTGGGACCACGCGGTCCTCCAGTGGACACTTTGCTGTGAGTCCTCTCTGCCCCAGCTGCCCACCTGCACCCCTCCTACTGGTCTGGATGATTGTTTCTTCTTTAACTCCTTGATTGTCTGGCTTCCATACAGTTCAATTTTCTGGCAGTTCTGGTTATTTTTTGAATTTAAATTTGTTATTTGTTGTCATCCTTATTTTGGTTGTGCGAGGAGGCAGAGTTTTTCCACCTATGCTTCTATCTCAGCCAGAAGTCTACCCACTACACTTTCATTAGTATTTCTGTCTGCATTTCATTTGCTGGCTTAGCTGCAGCCTGAACTCAATCAATATAAGTCTTTCCTCAATACTGACTTCTCTTGAACAATATTTTCATTAACTACATCTTCACTATATGTAAGATGTTCACTTTTCTTCATACTCATGCAATTTGGTCTTTATTTACATGGTTCTACCCCAAACACCCATTTTTCCAAAACCATTGCATCCTTCTCTTCCTTATACTGGTCTCTAAATCCAGCCAGGACTACAGTGGTAGGCCACTTTCACATACCCTGGGGTAACCATTTGCCCTTTGTTATGAAAATGTGGTGTAAAACTTTAAGAAAAGATTGATATAAAGTGATATTTTGGATATTGGTTCTCTTTAAGTCTATGTTTTCTTTCATAAAATTAAACATATGTCCATCTTAAAATCATTATTGAACTATTTAAGGACTTCTCCCAGAGCCAGTCCCTCATTTGACTATTTCAGCATTTCTGAAAATGTTTATATCATATTCTTGAGTACCCTAAAAAACAAAAAAGGGTATACATTTTTTCATTTTGTCTAACTAAGCTTGAAGTTCAGTAGCCTAATAAACTTTACACAGATCACACACACGAGATTTTCAAATACTTACAATATCATACACTATGACTGACTTATCCACTGATCTTTAAAAGAAAGAAAATGTGAGTGAAAACTTCTATAAAAACAAAGTATAGCATTTAATTAGTATATTAAATTCATTTAAATAACTTTTTAAAATATTTTTTAATTTATTTTTTTATTGATTATGCCATTACAGTTGTTCTATCCCCCCTTCATTCCCCTCCACCCTACCCCCCGTCCCCACCATAACCCCCCCTTTAGTTTATGACCATGTGTCTCAAGTTCTTTAGATTCTATATTTCCCATACTATTCTTGCCCCCTCATCTATTATCTATCTACTGTCTATGCTACTTATTTTCTGTACCTTCTCCCCCCTTCTCCTCCTCCCACTCCCCTGTTGCTAACCCTCCTTGAGATCTTCATTTCTATGTTTCCTTATTATATGAAATGTTAAAGGGACTTATCTAAGAAAAAGAAGTTAAATAACTTTTTAAGAAAAAACTGAAATACTGATATACACACATTTAGAACATACCTTTTCGTATTAATGAACTTTTATTAAAAAAAACTACATGCCATATATGAAATTTACCAGAAAATTATAAAGTTTATACTATGTAGCCATAAAGAGAATAAACATTTGTGACGTATAAATAAGGGGCAATGCTAAATTTCAGCCAAAACACGTTAAGAAAACATACTTGCAGCTAACATTATTTGAATATGTACATGCCAGACCTAATTTATAGACACTCGTTCAGTCTTAAATCTCTCAAGCCACAAAGTATTATTACTGGAATATCTAAAATTCTTAGCAAAAACGCCATTACTTTTGAGTGTCCTAAAAAAAGAGAACTAAAAGAAAATTCCAATTTCCGAGACTACCACTAGTACAATTCATCCTAAGGATACGTCACCTGAGAAGCTGGATTGTCAGTAGTAATCTTAGGAGCACTGTGTTAGGAAGCACTGTGCTGGCAACAAGCAAGAGTTCACACGGAAAGAGTAAGCACCAGGCCGGACAAGAACCATGCTCGTGGACAGGAAGAGTTAACCTTATCCATGCTACCCCCAGCAATCTACAGATTCAGTGCAATCCCTTTTAAAATACCAACGCTATGAATTTTAACATGTACTCTTAGCTACTAATGAACTAAATTGTCCAATAGGATTGTTAACAGTGTTAGAAAGAGATAGGAAAGAAAAGATGATTTGAGTTTTGAAAAGGTGGTCTTAAGCCTTCTTATGCTAGTCATTACTGAGCCAGAGAGGGCTGTTTGTTGAAGCCACTCCTAAATAATGACAATTTATTCATGACCGTCCTAATTCATGACAATCTATCATCTACATTTATAAAATGGATTAAACAATATAAGGGATCTAAATGGTAATGGAAAACATATGTAATAAAAAATTTTAAAGGTAAACAAGTATCTTTTGGGGAGGAAAAGAGGACACTTACTTCCTATCTCTTCTGAAATAAAATTTATTTTTGGTCTCTCTTCTCCCTTCTTTTTCTCCTGTTTAGCAGAAAAGAAGAAAAAACAGATGACGGAAAAGTTTGGGAGAAGACCATCGGCCACGTGGCTCGGCCCCTTCCAGATTTTCTCTTTTTGCTGACGTGCCCCTGCATGGACAGTCTGCAGTGGTCCACGCTGCCCCAGAGCAGGCAAGCAAGTCGGGGACAGATCTAGGCTCATTAACAGTTATCTGGACTCTCTGTCCTGCATTTCTCTCTCTCTGGTTTTCAACTCAAGAAGAGGGTGCTATTTATTGAACTCTGAAAACTACTACAGTGATGGATATTTTAAAACTGGTTTTCCAAGGAATGCTAAGAACTGAGAATTAATGGGAAAAGGCAGCCTCCATTTGAATGATAAAGACTGACTCTTCCTGCCTGAACAGAAGCTGATGCAAATAGTGCTCATTTTGTCTGGGTGGATCAAGAGAGGTGGGGTGGAACAAAAGACAAATTCTACGCGGGATTAGAGGACAGTTGTGGAGAAAGATGGAGGGGAAGTTCCTCCATATGTTGTTCTATGAGGTGTGACACCATTCTAGTGCTCAAAGCTAATGAAAAGTGTGATGCAAACATGAGAATCTATGTATCTTCTGCTAATCCAAGATATTGGAGAGATTTTCAAAAATGTAAAACAATGCCACTCAGACACTGATGGCTTTTATCTCTATTTCTACTATCTTGATAGTGTTAGCCAGTTCAGCAAGGCATAGAAGAAATCTGTGGTATAAGTATCAGAAAGGAAGAGACAAAAACCATCATTATTAATGTACAATTTTGTACATAAAAAATGCAAAATTAGAATCTTTGTAGAGAAACCCATTGTCTTTCCATATATATTTCTCTATATTAGACACATTTTTATAATAGCAATAAAATATTAAGTACCCAGAAATAAATCTAATAAGAGATGAGGAAAATGTCTATACAGAAAACAATTATTAAAAGAAATCAAGACAAATGGAAAAATAGTCCATCTTCATCTATCAGAACATTCAATATCATACAAAAATCAAATCTCCCCAGATTTATCAGATTCAATATAATTCCAACCAAAATCCAAACAGTTATATTCAGAGGGGAAAACTGGAAGCAATTTGACAAGTTAATGCTAAAATTTAGTTGGAAGTGTCAAAAGCCAAGAGTAACCAAAATATAAAGCCTTAGAAAGATAGAATGGCATTTGGACAAGGATAGACAAACAATAAAAGAGAATAGAATAGCTGGCTGAGAATCACATCCACACACATGTGGTCAATGATTTCTGACAAGTTAGCATAACAAAGTGGGTATTTCAATTAATAGTTCTGGACAACTGGACATCCACATGGAAAGGAATGAAACTGGATTCCTATCGCACATCATACACACCAATCAAATTTGAGGAACAGTTTTAGCAGACAATACAGGAGAATATCTTCATGACTTTAGAACATAAAGAAACTAACTACTAAAATCATAAACTGTGAAAAGGCAAATCCACAGGATAGGAAAAGATATTTGCAACACATATAACCAATAAATGGCTCATCTATAGAAATACTGGAAGAATATATATATTTTTTAATAATAAAGCAATAAGGGAAAGATAATCTGGAAGAAACTTGAACAGGCACTTCACAAAAAAGTAAATACATATGGCCAATAAAATTTTGAAATGGTTCTAACCATTTTCCCAAAACCTCAGTGTTTTTGGAAAATGCAAATTAAAGCCACAGTAAGACAACACTTCACACCCATCAGAATAGCTAAAATTAGAAAGACCCACAATACCAAGTATAGGCTAGGATGTGAAATAACCCTGCAACAGATATATTCAACCACTTGGAAAACAATTTGGTGTTACCTGCCAAAGTTGAAAATCCAACTATTCTATGACTGTCAATTTTATTCCTGTGTATTTATCCTACAGAAACACAAAATCATGAGCACCAGGAGATACAGACATGTTCTTGGGATTATTGTTGTAATTCTCCCAAACTGGAAATAATTCATAGCTCATCAACATTACTATGAATAAATTCTAGTACAAACATGCAATGCAATATTACATAGCAACGAAAACCAGTAAACCACAGCTATATGCATAAATACGAATCAATGCTGCAAACATAATACTGGGTTAAAGATGCCAGGCATAAAATAATTCACATTGTATGATTTGTTTTAAATCAGTTTAAAAGGAAAAAGCAATGTTGCATATGTCCCAAGGTGCTGTCACCGGGAGGGTAGAAGGGAACGACTTCTTGAGCAGAACCAGTAATGTGCTATTTCTTCACCGGAGTAGTGGTGATAGGTTCGAAACACAGTAATTTATCAAGCTATTCTCTGATATGTTATGTACTTTTCTGTATGCCTGTTTATTTCATATCAAAATGGTTTAAGGAAATTAAACAAAATAGCTTACCCTGAGACTAGCAGCTGCCCATCATGAGAAAAAGCACAGGCCAGGACAGGGGCGCAGTGCCCACTCAGTGCGCTTTTACATTTTAAGTCAAAACCTGCGGATAACAAGGTGAGAAAGATTAGCGAGCTGACCTGGCTTAGAATTCCTCCTTAAGTCAAAGCTATCCCACTTACTTATTCAATTAATTAGTGCCTAAAGGACACAAATGAAAAAATCCTCACACAACTCAGGCACCGGAATGCTGTGTGTGACTAAGTGGTTTCAGAAGTTCAGTAACGGGCAAGGAAAAGGGTGTGCTCAGCAAGCACTAGACAGGAGGGTGCTGCAATTATCAAATATTTTTTAATATAAAATTTAAACTATATTACAACCTTGTTATTTAATTTTTTAAATATATGTTGTGTATTTTATTTGACAATGTTGTGCATATACCAATTGCCCAAACACCCTAAAAAAGAATCAAGTACCATAGTTTAAAAAATTTGATTTTAAGAAAATATTCTCATTTTATCAATAAAAATTAACAAATGGTAATTTATACAGTTTATAATTCCTGTATACCTTATAAAACTACTATCAGGTAAGATAACACAAAATCCCGCCCTTCACCACAGCATGGATAGAACTGGGGACTATTATGCTGAGTGAAATAAGCCAGGCGTGAGGGACAAATACCATATGATCTCACCTGTAAGTACAGCCTATTCAACAAAACAAGCAACCAACCAAAACAGAACCAGAGACATGGAAACAAAGAACAAACTGACAGTGACCAGAGGAAAGGGAGGAAGTGGATAAGGGGAGCAGGGGAAGAAGGGGAAGTGTCCTTGTATAAAGGGCCCACTGAGGAAAACAATGAGGGCGGGTGGGGAGGAATGAATGCGGCGGGTGGGGGTTGGTGCGCCAGGGGGAGAGCACTGGGGGGGCAAATGGGGACAACGGACATTGAACAACAACAAAATAGTATTTTAAAAAAGTAAAACACGAAAATCCTTCTTATGCTTTCTATAAGCATTTGAAATCACAACTATTTTAAAGGTAAACAGAGAATTCAATAAATTTTAGTGGCAATCCATAAAATAATTTTAATTTTTATTTTTAAAATAATCAATAAAAACAACTTTACTGGCAATCAATAAAAATAATTATGAAGAAATTGGCCTGGGAGGACAAGAAACTAAGTGAAATCTATTATCAGACCTAATAAAAACTATTTTGAAGTGTTAATGGCTCTTAAGATTGCAAGCATTTAACTTACAAATCATTAGAGCAAGTGTCAACAGAAATACATATGTGTTTTCATTTAATATTAAATGTTTCAATTCTATCCAAAACATAAAAAAATATTTTTATCTGGGAGAACAGATGTGGGCATTAAAAGCACTGTGTGGAACATACAGATCATAAGTAGACATAATCAGTCACACAGAGCAAAAATGTTAAGTTGCCAACCAAATGAAGGCCAAAAACTTGTAATGACCATAAGAAAGGATGTTATTATCAAATAAAAGATCCCTATGTCTGTCTACTCCCCCCCAGTAAAAACTAGGTACAAGTGATGATAAACGCTTTATCAAAATGCTTTAACTGAACGTTTACAAACTGTTACGTTTTTTAAAGAGTTGGTGTAAAGACACATTTTCCACACAGTGTATGAAAAGCTGTACTTTTGAAGATTTGATTAAAAATACATTGTGTTCGGAACATCAGCACATTATAAGAACTGTACCTTGACAGGAGTGGAGGAAGAGTTAGGATAGATCAGAGAAGTGAAAGAAGTCTTATCCTCATCCCCAAATAAATGAATACATTAGGAGAATTACTAAGTGTAACATAATACACAGTAAACTAACAAAATTTCCATAGAAGGAAATGCATCTATTTCCTGCCAAGAGGCCCTTCTCTGTACACTAGCATAACGACAAAGATTCACTCCTATACCACACTCTGCCAGGCTCTTCTTCTAAGCCCTCCTCTTGATTAATCCTTGATCTTGGCCTATAAAGACTTTACCATAGTTTCTAAGAGCTCAGGGTTGCATTCCTAGCCTTATTAAAGAGCCTGAGAAAACTCAAGGCTGTCAAATACATGTAACTATTTGTTTCAGCAAACACCCCAGACAGGGCTCCTGACTCCCAGGCTCTGTGGGAAGGTAGGAGCTTAAATTCCGCAAGTTTCAATTAGCAAACCCAGATGGGTTTCAGCGCACCAACCCCACCTTCTTCCTGCTTTCTGTAATTTTCACTTCCTTGACTCCAGAGTCCTGCTCACCCATCCTTATCCCCTCATTCTCCCTTTAAAATGCCTGTCACCTCTGCATAACCTGCAGGTGAGCTGAGCCCATGCTGGGTTCTTTTCCCTGTGGCAGTGGTATATTACTGGTTAAAATCTGCCCTTACCACTTTAATCAGCATCCCCCTTTGTTTCTCTGTTTATCTTTGACAATTATGAACAACAAAATGTGGTCTGAGATGTAACTGAAGCTTATTAGATAATAAAATAAGACTATTTTTAGGCATCTAAAGCAAGATGGCCAACTGACCATATATTTCAGAGTTCCCATTAAAATGATAATATAGGAATTCATAAACATATAAATTCACATCAGTGAAGAGAACAGAAAGGGGGCATCAGCAAACCAGAAATTGAAACCAGTTTGGGGAAGGCAGAAAGCAAATTAATTGATGAGGTAGTTTAGAGGAGTAACAGCCCAGAATGCCAAGAGAAAGCTAATCTGCCCTAGGAAACCCCAAAAAGATTTGGGACTATCAACATTCAGGGAAAAGCAAAGTCTGAATGACAGAAATACAGACCTGGAAATAGAAAAACTAACCAAGTTTTTTTTATAGATAGTCAGTGTTGTCCTCTGACCCCTCCCCTAGCCCATGGCGGTCCCAGAGGACAGAACACACACACTCTCTAAGCCCCAACCCCTGACCTTATTCTAAAGGGGAGCCAGCAACGACCAACTGCCCTGTGTGCAGAGCTTCTAAACACCTTGTCACTGTCTTCTTTTTTAGAGAGAGCAAGAAAGGAGGAGGAAGAGAGAGGGAGAGAGACACACAGACAAACATCAATTTGGTTTTCTACTTACTTAGTCAGTTATTCATTGGCTGATTCTTTTATGTGCCCTGACATGGGTTCAACCTGCAACCTTGGTGTATTGGGCCCAGGCTCTAACCATCTGAGCAACCCGACCAGGGTCCACTGTCTAATTCTTAAATGTAAATGGAATACTAAGGATCACCAGACATTTGATTTACATAAGTATATAAAAGAGAAAGATTAGGGTAAACAACCAAACAAACAAACAAACCCAAAAAGATGAGCCCGAGAGCAAACAAAGATGATCAGGAAACAAGGGAACTTAAAAACCAAACAAAAAGACTCTAATTGGCATTCAGAGAGTTTTGAGAGGATCTTGCATTCACCACGTAAAAGGACGACACTATGAAAAAGAAACAGAAGATGAGCTTTTAGAAATTGAAAATGCGACTGATGAGATGAAACAATTCTAAAGAAGGTTACAAGATAAAGCTGAGGAATTTTTCTATAAAGTAGGAAAAAAGATGAAGTGATAAATGCGTAGGAAAAAACAGAATAAGAGTTATATCAGAAGGTCCAACAAAATTAATGGGAGTTATACAAAGAGAGGAAGTAAAGGAAAAACTACTAAAGAAATAACATAAAGGAATATTGTATTCCAAAACTGAATGACTTCAATTTCTTAACTAAAGCGTCACCTGAAGAAACAGTACAATGCATGAGGAAGAGACCCACACTGTCAAAGAATGGTTAACGACAGTGAATAAATTCAAAACATGATGATATAAATATTCATAGACTCTGAAAACCACCCCGAGAATCGAAAAACAGGTAGAGTGTACGGTCAGCTCTGTGCCTTGGTGGTGGCGAGGCCCCAGTCGGCAGCAGGCACAACATTTTAAAATCATGGGTATTTATTGCTCTTATTAAAAGTTTTTATGTTGGGGAGGTTGTGGAGAAAAGGGGTCCTTAGTTCACTGTTGGTGGGATTGCAGACTGGTACAACCATTATGGAAAACAGTATGGAATTTTCTCAGAAAACTAAAAATGGACCTGCCTTTTGACCCAGCAATTCCACTGCTAGGATTATATCCTAAAACATCAATTTCAAAGAACCTATGCACCACAATGTTCATAGCAGCACAATTTACAATAGCCAAGAGTTGGAAGCAACCTAAGTGCCCATCAGTAAATGAATGGATCCAAAAATTGTGGTACATATACACAATGGAATTCTATGCAGCAGAAAGAAAGAAGGAGCTACTGCCCTTTGCAACAACATGGATGGAACTGGAAAGCATTATGCTGAGTGAAATAGGCCAGGGGTTGAAAGACAAATACCATATGATCTCACCTTTAACAGTAAGCTAAACAACAAAACGAACAAGCAAGCAGAATAAAAACAAAGACACTGAAATAGAGAATAAGGGGACAGCGACCAGAGGGGAGAGGGAAGGGAATTTAAGGGGGAAGGAGGGAGGGATTTGGAGGAACAAATAGGAAGGACACAGGGACGAGAGCGAGGGGGGTGGAGATGGGAAGGAAGTGGGGAGCATGGGACGGGGGGGGGGGGGAGGCTGGGATGGGAGAAATAGACAAAAAACTGTACTTGAAAAATAACTAAATTCAAAAATTTTTAGAATAAAAAAAGGTTTTAAAGCAGTTTAATAATCACTTTTAGGTATTCAGAGTACCTTAGGTAAAAAAGATTAGTTAAAATAGAGATTTTATCTAGATCACAAATGATTTTAGAGAACTGCTGGTTAAATACATACCTAAGACGTGGCTAAAAGGAACCACCCAAATTTTGATCTGGCAGTCCTGACCACATGTTGCCAATCGAAAGAACTGAAGACTCTGTTCTCCATCTAAAAATGTAAATTTATTGAAAATACACAGGAGTTGATAAATCATTTAAACCAAAAACATTTCCATTTTTATGCTGAGATGCTAATTCTTTTCATTTAAAACATGTTTACAAGCAATATTAATGACCTTATACCATATCATGAAATGTTAGTTGAAGAATTTCTTTCAAACAAGTAATTTCGAAGGATTATAACTTTAGCCCCTAAAGTTGTTACAACAAGATATCTTTTATTTAGCTTCCACTAAGAATATAACAAGGCTGCAAGGGCCCACACTCACTAAGCCTAGGGCGTCCTCCAACCCAATCTTAGAGTCCATGAGGTTAGTACTGATAGGAAAAACTAGAACAAATGGCAGTTATGATAGGAATATTAAATGTTTCATTATTCCCAACCTAACTCTTTAAGGCTATATCCATTTCTTAAAAGCTTAGTCTATAATTCATATGGAAATAATAATGAGTTTTTTTCACTTTTGATTTACTCGTGACAAAGGCTGGAATTATATAAGTCCAAAATAATATCAATTCAGTGCACTTGATTTGGTGGAAAACAGTATATAAATTAGGGAATGTAATCAATTAGATTGGTAGTTCACAAAAGAAAACCTCACTAGTTTTTATGATTACTTGGATAATTTTGGGTATTACTATATACCTACCATATAAGTTCCCAAATACTGTGGATAATGTAAATATTGGTATCATTACCTAATTTTACTGAGTTCACCTCATACCACAAATGCAGTTTCATCCAAGAAAGTTCTGGCACTTGTGTGCAGTAAGACCCAAGTCCGAAACCTAATATTCATCTTAAGCTTGTACTCCAGTTTTGCAAATATTAGGTATATGGTATTTAAATAAAATATTTTATATATGAGTACCTAAATTTTCTTCTATGAACTCTGTCTTGTTGAAAGCATATACTTCATTAGAACTCTGAAGTATATACTTCAGAAGTATATAGAAGCATATACTTCATCAACAAGAACTCTGTCTTGTTGAAAGCATATACATATACTTCATTAACATACAACAAATTAACTTCCTTGTCACTGCAAGTTTTTCTAACTCCATGGGATTTCCACATTTCAGTATCATTTTGGTTTTTAACAGCACAGGTTCAGCCAAAAGGCATCCTTCCTGAGTCTTTTTAAGGCAAAACATTTTACTCAATAAATGGCTAAGAGTCAAATATTTAGGTACTAGACTCCATTAAAAAATGTTTTTTTTCATTGTTTGACCAAATAGGTCCTTTGAGGTTAATTAAGTTTAAGTAGTGAGAATTCAGCTAGGACAATGGAAAAATACGGAGCTTAAAAGGTGCCTATGCTCAATATCTAAATATAATGCTTAAATATATACTTCTCTTCAGGAAGATATTTAAATCGTATTTTAATATTTGAGAAAACTCAAATTTTCTTTATAATTTAAAAACTAGAATGAGAGAGAGAGGGGTAGAGAGAGATTATTTGACTTTGGGTGGTTTTCATACAATGTAATACACAGATCATATGTCACAGAAGTACACAGTTGAAACTTATGATCATATTAACCAATGTTACCCCAATAACGCTAATTGAAAAAGAAAAGCTAACATCCAACCTCCATTTACTGGCATACCTTACTGTACTGCATTTCACATATGTTGCTTACAATTTTTTACCGAGAGCAAGACCCTCCCCATCAGCAGTAACACTGTGACTCACGCTATTTCACTTGCTTCGTTGTGGTGGTCTGGCCCTGAACCTGCAGGGTCTCCAAGGTGTGCCTGTATGCAAACTAGATTTTCTTCCAAGGTCCCTCCTCCTGGTCTAGTGATGTTTTCACTATAACTTCCTTTCTAGGTTGCCTGCTTTGTTTGTAAGTAGGAATACCTACTCAAAGCCTCTCTAATAGGAAAGACATACTTGGATTAAAGTTTAAAAACAAATTTTCTAAATAAAAAAAATTAGGCTCTTTTTTTTGGAAGGCAGCTATGCTCACCACTGTACCACCAACGCCAGCCTCTTTTTTGTAAGCAATAGAAATTTGATTGATATGTAAGAGTTGCTTAAAAAAACACTAGAGAAAATTGATCATTTATCCTCAAATGATTCTTTTTCCTTATTTGAGCAAAATATCAAAGACAAAAGAGTCAGTAACTCATAAGTACTTATTGATATTAACAGTACCAATTAAACAACAAATTAAAATTATACTTTGTCTTTTAAGAAAATATAGTAGTTTCCACAGATTCTTATAATTCCTTTTAAAGTATATATTGATCTGTTTCAGGGCATTTATACAAGGTTAATAATCTATTTTAACAGAAGCTGAACTAAAGAAACTAAAAAGAAACAGATTAAAATTATACTGAGAAATATACTTTAAAATATACTCTAAAGGCAGGTGAAACATGTGGGTATCACACTTATTCTAGAATGTCACCTGGAATTCTCTACCTGGTTCAAGAACCTTTCCAGGCCCCAACTGCTGCCAATCCCTCTAGAGACAAGTTTGCCCTTAGTTTTACCCTAATATTAACATAATAATGGTATTTCAATTGGAAATCATTTCAGATAATTTAGAATCAACAAGGACACTTAAATCTCCCTCCTTTTATATAGTTTATCAAAGATTTGTTGAGTATCTATAAGATTTGCAGGAGGTGCCATAGAAGTAAAAGAAATGGTTCTTTTCTATTGCAAGATGGACTTAGAATGATAAGTCTTAGAATTATATATATAAAAAGAACAAATCATTGCCCTGACCGGTGTTGCTCAGTTGGTTGGGCCTCATCCTGCAAAGGATGGTTGGATTCCCAGTTAGAGCATGTGCCTCAGGTGCGGGTTTGGTCGGGGTACATAGGAGAGGCAACAGATTGGTGTTTCTCTCTTACATCAATGTCTCTCTCCCTCTCTGTCTCTCTCTTCCCCCTCATTAAAAATAAAGAAATAAAACCTTTAAAATAGAATAAGTTCTCATAATTAAACTAGGTAGGTTGTTTCATACAAGAATGGGTTCATGAAAAGAACATCTACTGATTTATTACATGATGTTAAAACATTAAAAAAATTTCAACCACTAAAAGAAATTTTATTCATCATTCTCTATTTCAGGGCCTACTATGTAACAACAATATCTGTCCTCGGGGAGCTTTCTGTCTAGGAAAAACACCATTAAACATAATCTATATAAATAAACATAATTAAAAATTATCATACTTCTCTGAGAACTGTAAAGAAAAATAAAGAATATAAATACAAGGCTATCAAAACGCTTTAGTCCAGCGGGGGAGTGCCACAGCCGTCCTGCTACTGTCTGGACTTGAGCTGTCCAGGAAGGCTGCGGCTGCAGAACACTGGACACGGAGCTGGACAACCAGGGATGTGACATGATACGCAGGCCAGATTTTAAAGACCTCGTGCCAAAAACGGTACAGATACTAAAGAGCCTGACTTTCACACATAATTATTTCTTTCTAACTTCAGTGTGAAAACATAAAGGAGAAGGATGATCCCTAAAAGGAATAAATTTAAAAGGTTCCTTGTTTGATGAAATGAAAATGAATAAAAGAACCAAAAGTCGAACACAAATTACAAATGGGACTCACTCATGCTTAAAAGAATAAAATAACTAACCAGAAACTGGCTGCGAAGAAAAATCACAACAGGTAACTCCAAGATCATGTGCTTTTTCACTATGCAGACACTTCATTTTATCATCCCACACTGTTAAATCTCCACATGAGGAGCCAGTGACAAAGAGGTTTCTGCTGGGAGAAAATGCACAGGCAACCAAGGAGCCATCCTTTACACTACCACACCTGGAATGAAAGCAAAAAAGAGGATTTTCATTTCAGAGCATCTTTTACTTTATAATTTCTAACAACAGTTCGATAAATGGCTAACACAGAACTTGAATGAAAGAGCTAAAGATGTGTACAGAAATAAAACATTATTTTATGCTATAAACTGAAACCTGCTTACTAAAATTAAGATGATTTACATATTATCTTAACTACCATGTTCAGGCTTAAACTGTAGAAATTCAAACCAAAGTTCACATATCTTCATATTATTTTCCTATAAAGTCAGATAAAAACACTCAGCAAACTGGGTGTAGAAAGAGCACACTTCAGCATAATAAAGGCCATATATGAGAAACCTACAGCCAACATCATACTAAATGGGCAAAAACTAAACACTTTCCCACTAAGATCAAGAATAAGACAAGTCACCCTTCTATTCAACAGAGTAGTGGAAGTTCTAGCCACAGTGATCAGACAAGAAAAAGAAATAAAAGGCAGCCAAATTAAAAAGGAGGTAAAACTGTCATTGTTTGCAGGTATGACTGTGCACATAGAACACCCTATAGACTCCATCAAAAAAGTACTTGACCTAATAAGGGAATTTGGAAAAACAGCAGGATACAGAGTCAATATTCAGAAATTGAAGGTATTTTTGTTTACTAGCAATGAAAGAGCAGAAATAGAAATTAGTACAAACATTCCATTTACTATAGCAGCAAAAAAAAATAAGGTACCTAGGAATAAACCTAACCAAGGAGGTAAAACACCTGTACTCAGAAAACTACAGAACAGTGAAGAAAGAAATTAAGCAAGACACAAATAAATGCAAGCATATACCATGTTCCTGGATTGGAAGAATTAACATCATCATAATGTTCATATTACCCAAAGCAATTTATAGATTCAACACAATTCCTACTAAAGTACCAATGACATATTTCACAGATATAGAACAAACATTTCAAAAATTTATATGGAACCACAAACAACCCCAAACAGCCTCAGCAATTTTGAAAAAGAAGAACAGACTTTTGGCCTGTTCTTCTCAGGCCAGAAGATAGAGGCATAGGTGGACACACTGTGCCACCTCACACAACAAAAAGGGCAATGAATTTAAAAACAAAAAACAACCAGAACTGCCAGGAAATTGAACTGTATAGAAGTCAAACCACCAAGGAGTTAAAGAAAAAACATTCATCCAGACCGGTAGGAGGGGTGGAGACAGGCACGAGGAGAGGACTTGTGGCAAGGCAGCAGCTGGAGGACCAGGGCAGGCAAGGTGGCAGCTGGCAGATGGGGTGGTCCCACATTTCTGTGCAGATAAACTGGGAGGAACAACTGGAGAGTGAGACAGACTGTGCTACTCAGGGTTCCAGTGCTGGGAAATAAATCCTCAAAGCCTCTGACTGAAAATACCTGTGGGGGTTGAGGTAGTGGGAGAAACTCCCCACCTCATAGGAGAGTTCACTGGAGAGAACCCACAGGGTCCTAGAATGTACATAAACCCACACCCACCTGGCAATCAGCACCCGAAGGGCTCAATTTACTTGTGGGTAGCGAGGGAAGTGACTGAAAGCTGGTAGAGTGCTGAGCAAGTGCCATTGTTCCTGCTTGTACCCTTCCCTTACCAACGCCACAACGTAGCCATGTGGGTTGCCTTGCCCTGGTGAACACCTAAGGCTCTGCCCCTCACTATGTAACAGCCACACAGAGACAAAAAATGGCCCAAATGAAAGAAAAGATCAAAGCTCCAGAAAAAATACAACTAAGTGACAGAGAGATAGACAATCTGTCAGATGCACAGTTCAAAACACTGGTAATCAGGATACCCACAGAAATGGTTGAGTATGGTTACAAAATAGAGGAAAATATGAAAGCTACACTAAGTGAAATAAAGGAAAATGTACAGGGAATTATAGTGATGGGAAGGAAACCAGAACTCAAATCAATGGTGTGGACCAGAAGGAAGAAAGAAACAGTCAACCAGAACAGAATGAAAAAAATAAGAATTCAAAAAAAATGAGGAGAGGCTTAGGAACTTCCAGGGCATCTTTAAACGTTCCAATATCTGAATCATAGGGGTTCCAGAAGAAGAGAAAGAACAAGAAGTTGAAAACTTATTTGAACAAATGAAGAACTTCCCCAATGTGGCAAAGAAAATAGATTTTCAAGAAGTCCAGGTAGCTCAGAGAATCCCAAAAAAAACTGGATCCAAGGAGGAACACATCAAGGCACATCATAATTACATTATCCAAGATTAAAGATAAGGAGAGAATCTTAAAAGCAGCAAGAGAAAAGGACATAGTTAACTACAAAGGAGTTCCCATAAGACTATCAGCTGATTTCTCAAAAGAAATTTTTCAGGCAAGAAGGGGCTAGAAAGAGGTATTCCAAGTCATGAAAGACAAGGACCTACATCCAAGATTACTCTATCCAGCAAAACTATCATTTATAATGGAAGGGCAGATAAAGTGCTTCCCAGATAAGGTCAAGTTAAAGGAGTTCATCATGACCAAGCCCTTATTATATGAAATGTTAAAGGGACTTACCTAAGAAAAACATAAAAATATGAACAGTAAAATAATAATGAAGTCAGTTATTAACAACTGAACCTAAAACAAAAACAAACTAAGCGAACAACAGAACAGGAACTGAATCATAGAAATGGAGATCACATGGAGGGTTATCAGCAGTGGAGTGGGAGGGGGAGAGAGGAGGAAAAGGTACAGAGAATAAGTAGCATAAATGGTAGGTAGAAAATAGAGGGAGGTTAAGAACAGTGTAGGAAATGTAGAAGTCAAATAACTTGTATGCAAGATCCATGGGCATGAACTAAAGGGGGAGAGGAATGCCGGAAAGTGGGGGAGTACAGGGTGGAGTGGGGATAAAGAGCAGAAAAAAATTGGGACAATTGTAATAGCATAATCAATAAAATATATTTAAAAGAAAAAAAAAGAAGAACAAAGTAGAAGGATCACAATACCTGATATCAAACTATATTACAAGGCCACTGTAATCAAAACCATCTGGTACTGGCATAAGAACAGGCACATAGATCAATGCCACAGAATAGAGGGCCCAGAAATAAACCCAAGTCTCTATGGTCAATAAATATTTGACAAAGGGGGCAGCAGCATAAAATGAAGTAAAAACAGCCTCTTCAACAAATGGTGTTGAGAGATCTGGACAACTACATGCAAAAATATGAAACTCAACCACCAACTTACACGGTGCACCAGAATAAACTGAAGATAGATAGAATACTTAAATATAAGTCATGACCCCATAGTCCTAGAGGAGAACATAGGAAGGAAAATCTCAGATATTCCACACAGCAATATTTTCACCAATATGTCCCCTAGAGCAATGGACATAAAGTAAAGAATAAACAAATGGGACTTCATCAAATTAAAAAGCTTCTCCATGGCTAAAGAAAACATCAGCAAAACGAAAAGGAAACCAACCATATGGGAAAATATATTTGCCAGTGATACCTCGGACAAGGGTTTGAGCTCCAAAATATATAAAGAACTCGCATGACTCTACTCCAGGAAGACAAGCAATCTAATTAAAAAATGGGCAAAGGACCTGAACAGACACTTCTACAAGGAGGACATACAGAGGGCCCAGAGACATATGAAAAGATGCTCAGCATCACTAGACATCAGAGAGATGCAAATTAAAACCACAATGAGGGACTTCCGCCAAGATGGAGAAGTAGGTGGAGGGTCCACCTCGCCTCTGTGCACAACCAAATCTAAGAACAACTATTTTTAACAGCAGTCACAACCAAGCCACACGGAAAATCGACAATACGGAGTCCAAAGGACAACTAGATACTCGGCTGGACCGGTACGAGGAGCCAGGCCAGCAGCGGAGCAGGTTAGCAAGAAAAATTCCCGGGGCGGTGCGCGGTTCGCGCGATTGCGAAGCGAGCTGGCTGCCGGAGCGCACAAAGAAGGGGCGCGGTGGGTCGCTCAGTCGCGCGCATTTACGTGCGGAGAAGCCAGTGAGAAGGGAAGCCCGGCGCAATACCGATCGGATAAACCCCATGCGTGCGGAGTGACTGGAAACGCTGGGCTAGCGGAGAGGAACGCCATTGCTCCCTCTCTGACCCCCCCCCCACACACAGCGTCACAAACCAGCGACCTGGGTCGCCCCGTCCTGGTAAACAACTAAGGCTTCGCCTCCGCTCACTTAACAGCGCGAACAGACCAAAAATGGCTCTAGGACAACTTAGAGCCCCAGAACCGATAGATCTAAGCGATGAAGAAATAGCCAGTCTTTCAGATGCACAGTTCAAAACACTGGTTATAAAGATCCTTACAGAACTGGTTGACTTTAGCCACAAATTAGAGAAACATATGGAAGCTAAATTAATTGAAATGAATGGGGATACAAAAGATTCCAATAGTAATGGAAAGAAAATTGGGACTCAAATCAAAGGGAGAGAACCAGAAGGAAGAAAAAAATGGTCAAACAGAAAGGAATGAAGAAATAAGAATTCAGAAAAATGAGGAGAAGATTAGGAACCTCCAGGACATCTTTAAACGTTCCAACATCCGAATTATAGGGGTACCAGAAGGGGGAAAGGCACAACCACCAGTTGAAAAATTATTTGAACAAATAATAAAGGAGAATTTCCCCAAGATGGCAAAGGAAATAGACTTCCGAGAAATCCAGGAAGCTCAGAGAGTCCCAAAGAAGTTGGACTCAAGAAGGAACACACCAAGGCACATCATAATTACATTAGCCAAGATTAAAATGAAGGAGAGAATCTTAGAAGCAGCAAGAGCTAAGGGGACAGTCACCTACAAAGGAGTTCCCATCAGACTGTCAGCTGATTTCTCAAAAGAGACCTTACAGGCAAGAAGGGGCTGGAAAGAGGTATTCCAAGTTATGAAATCCAAAGACCTACATCCAAGATTGCTCTATCCAGCAAAACTTTCATTTAGAATGGAAGGACAGATAAAGTGCTTCTCAGTTCATCATCACCAAACCCTTATTATATGAAATGTTAAAGGGACTTACCTAAGAAAAAGAAGATAAAAAAGACGAACAGTGAAAGGACAGCAAACTCAGTTATTAAGAACCACACCTAAAACAAAAGCAAACTAAGAGGATAGCTAGATCAGGAGCAGAACCAGAGAAATGAAGATCTCAGGGAGGGTTAGCAATAGGGGAGTGGGAGGGGGGGAAGGGGGAGAAGGTACAGAAAATAAGTAGCATAGATAGTAGATAGAAAATACATAGGGGGAGGGTAAGAATAGTAGGGGAAATACAGAATCTAAAGAAATTGAGACACATGTTCATGAACTAAAGGGGGAGTGGGGGGGGAGGGGTATGCAGGGTGGAGGGGGAAGGGAGGGGGGAATAGAGCAAATGTAATGGCATAATCAATAAAAAAATTATATTAAAAAAAAAAAAAAAACCACAATGAGACACCGCTTCACACTGGTCAGAATGGCCATCGTAAACAAATAAACAAGTGTTGGAGAGGATGTGGAAAACCCTAGTACACTGTTGGTGAAAATACAAACTGGTGCAGCCACTGTGGAAAATGATATGGAATTTCCTCAAAAAACTAAAAATGGAACTGCCTTTTGATCCAGCAATTCCACTGGATGTATACTTTAAGAATCCTAAAACACCAATTCAAAAGAACCTATGTACCCCAAAGTTCATAGCAGCACAATTTACAATAGTCAAGTGCTGAAAACAGCCTAAGTGCTCATGAGTAAATGAGTGGATCAAAAAACTATGGTACATTTACACAGCAGATTCCTACTACGCAGCGGAAAGAAATAAGGAACTCCTACCCTTCAGGATGGCATGGATGGAGCTAGTGAGTTTTATGCTAAGTGAAATAAGCCAGGAGGTGAGGGACAAATACCATATGATCTCACCTTAACTGGAACATAATCAACAAAACAAGCAAGCAAGCAAAATAGAACCAGAGACATGGAAATAAAGAACAAACTGACAGTAATCAGAGAGGAGGGAGGAAGTAGAGAAGGGGGCAGGACCAGTCAAACAACATGTATAAAGGACTGACGGACAAAGACAATGGGGGGAGGAGTGGGAGGTGGTGAGAAGATTGAATGTGGGAAGTGGGGGGGTAGGTAGGGTAAGGGAGAGTAATGGGGGAGGGGGAATGGGGACAACTGTAATATAAGAACAAAAAAAAAAATCTCCAGCCCTGGCTGGTGTGGCTCAGATGACTGAGCTCCACCCTGTGAATCCAAGGGTTGCTGGTTCGATTCCCACTCGGGGCACATGCCTGGCTTGTGGGCCAGGTTCCCAGTTAGGGTCGTATTTTGAGAGGCAACCACACACTAATATTTCTCTCCCTCCCTTTCTCTGGAAATAAATAAAATCTTTTTAAAAATCTCCAAAAGTTAACAACAGCAATGACAATCAGCAATATCAACTATAGTCACATATTTTAATAAAAAGATAAAACTATTTTTATTGAATAACACGTGATTGGGGTCGAAGATGGGTAATTTTTGTTTTAAAATTACCCAGAAGCAATAGTCCTTTCACCTCATCTTCAAATATGGATGCTTTATGAAAGGAATATGCTGTAAACAAGTTAAAATTATCTTGCGAAGATAAAGAAGCACTGTACTACTGTGCTAGCCATACCATTTTCTCAATCAGGGAAAATAAACGAGTAAAAACCAATTAGTGCAGAGTCCCAGCCAGTGCTTGAATCTATTTTCGTGGATCATGTTACATCATCAGTCACATAGTGTACTGGGCTGGCCAAAAAGACCATATGGTGTGCTCGGTAAAATGAAAGACACACTTTTCATTTTTACTAATAACTTTACTGATTTGGATATTTTGAGTATGTTGGCGATCTCCCGCCTGGTATAACGTTGACTGCTCTCAATTAATGTCTTGATTTGATTGCTATCAACTTCAACTGGTTTACATGACTGCAACTCAAATGCAAAAAAAAAAAAGATCTGTGCAGTGTATGGATCAAATGTGTCAAAAGTGGTTTGCAAAGTTTCATGCTGGAGATTTGTCACTGGATGATGCTCCACAGTCGGGGAGACCAGGTGAAAATAATAGCGATCAAGAGATTAATTGATAACAATCAACATTAGACCACATGGGAGATACCCAACATACTCAAAATATCCAAATCAACAGTTATTGGTAAAAATGAAAAATGTGTCTTTTAATTTATGGAAAAACTCAATAAACTTTTTGGCCAATCCAATAATAAAGCATAATATGAAAAAATGTTGCATATTTTCTTTCATCTTCAATATTAAAATGGCTACACAAAAATTCACCAATTTTGATAAGTTTTTTAAAAATGCAAGCTGATATGACAGCTGTCACAATACAGTCAAACAAAACTGTTTCAAATGAAGTTAAAGACAACTAAGCACTACTAGAGCCATCTTACAGAAAAAAAAAACAAAATTAACTTTTTGGCTAACCCAATACACCAGGGAACTAATCCTATAAAGGCAGAATTCATCACCTGATAAGTAAAAAAAGATTTCTTAGCTGGCAGCTGTAGTTCATTCATAGAATATAACTTACATTTTATTCAGTGCTTTCTCTTTAAACAGTTCATTAACACCACCTGAAACCTATTACCTCTTCAACCCAAAGACCTAAACCTAAGTGAGCAACAGTTGTTTACCAGCTGGCACTTGTGCTCTGAATGATGTTGAGGGGTACAGAAAACAGAAGGTACATTAGGCTATTCTAATTGTTAACATTTAAATGTTTATGATTTAATTTGCTTAATGTCACTTGAAAGAGGTAAATTTTGTTATAAACATCTCACCACCACATAAAACATAAAAGCACATATTTTTAATGTTAAGTTTCAACAGAAAATCACTCATGTAAATTAACTGATGTATTTTTATCCAAAAGGAGTTTTCAGGTGATTTTTTTTTTTTTTTTTTTAAGAAATGGTCATGTGGTGCCACTCTAATCACAAGGCGCTTTCTTCTGGGTGTGGTCCCCCACCCAGCAAGAATCCTAGTCAGGAAATAGTTGTCTCTTTATCCCTGAGAACACTTGAGCCAATGAGCTACTAACAAAAATAAAACCTAAAGTTACTAATCTTATTCAAAAGACTGTTTTCTTTGCCTAACTCTCACTGTAAAGATACAGAAGAGTCTAACAAGAATAATCCTTATTTTACAAAACAGAGGAAAACTCTAAGAGTCCAGCCAATCTGTTACAAGAATCACACTAAATATCTGTTTTTATGACCTTCAGAAGACAGGTCAAAATATTTTTCTTTGCGACGTCTGAAAAGTATCTGATTCTTAGTCATCAAAATAGTTTTTTTTTTTTGTTAGGCATATTAAAAGGATTGAAGACAGAAAAGGTTTAAACAGTCATACCTATGCAACTTGAATGACTGCGCATTCCACAAAACAACAGTTCCATCAGCCGCCCCTGACACCAAACAAGTGGAGTCTGGGGAAAACCTGCAAACCCGCACAGGGCTCCCACGAGGTTGTTCCAGCACTGCCAATGTCTGTCCATTTTGAGTATCCCACAGGACAGTGGTACCATCTGTTGAACATGAAGCCAAAATATGTCCTGAAGGGGAGAAACAGCAGCAGTGAACAGCATAGGTGTGAAACTTCAATGGAGAGTGTGGCAATTCAGTGAAGTCACTTAGGGAGTACAGGCGAATTGTTTTGTCCAAGGAGCAAGTAGCCAAAAGGGAAGAGGAGAAGGCACAGCAGTTGACATCTTCACCATGATCAGCTAATGTGTGAATCAGTTTCACCATGTTCTTCCCTTGAAGCAAAATATCCTGCAACTTTAAAATTGATAAAGGTTACTTCATCCCTGAAAGCAAATAAATCCAACTCAAATCCATACATAGATAGACATGGGCCAGAATCAACTTAAGAATTTTTTCACTGAAAGCTAAAACATTCAGCTTAAAAAATTCACTGTATTCATATTTTTAAAGGGCAGTCTATTATACCAGGGATAAGGGTAATTTGGAGAGGAAAAAAACCCCACATTTATAAGACCATAACCTCTGATAATGATCACGGTGACAATGCCATGCCAATTAAGTTCCATTCGCTCCTAAAAATGAACCCTGTCAAACAACTTCAAACTGCCTTGACATTAAACATCTAAAACTTCAGGTATTCATTTCACCTTTGAAGACTTGCCCCTAACTCACTACTTGTCCACATTGCCTTGTTCTAGATTTGCTCATCTCCAACTCAAAAAGATTTTCACTATTTTAACCAACTGTCTCAGCTGCTCCTTCCACAGGATGGAACCAAGGCAAATGCTCTGCCTTTAAGATGCAGAACTGTGGGGTTCACTCATAAAAGCTAACAAACGGTTTTACTCAGTGTAAGTAGCAATGGGTAAACTACTGATGTCATGGTTTGTCATCTTGTGTAATTAAGGATAAAATGATGTAAGAGATTTGAGGTGAAGAACCAAATTAATAAATCCAGGAAACCAAGGGAAGGAAGGTGACAAACTCATAATAAAATCCAAACTCCTCACCAGGGCTCACAAAGCCACGTTCCCTCTTCCTCACTTCTTTCTAGCCTCCCTGGTCAAAAAGACTCCGGGTCTTCGATCTTCATAAAGTGGTGTTCTTAATTTGAAACCCTCTTCCCTTGTCTTTTGGGATCCTATTTCTCATTTACATCTCCATGTCAGTGTCCCTTTTCAGAGAGGATTTCCCAATCTAAAGCAGCCACTCTCTAGCCCAGCACATCAGTCCCCAGTGTACCAATTACCACCACCTGATGTACTGTATTCTGTCGTGCATGATGTGCTCTTGTGTGCATTATACACAGGATTATTACATCTGTTATTACGCCCATATGCAATCATTACACCCATGTATAATGTGCATCTTTATTTTTCCCTCAAAAATTTGGGCAAAAATTGCTCATTATACATGGCAAAGTATGGGTACTTATTATTTGTCTCTCCCCATTAGAATGTAAACTCTAAAGGAGCAGAGGTCTTGTCCATCTGGCTCCCTGCTGTATTCACAGCATGTAAAACAGTGTCAGGCACATTCTGTGCTCAAATAAATATTTGTTGGAAATTTACTCTTTTCAAACCCAAGGGAGTTCTAGCATTGACATATTATGTGAACATAACACAAAATGATAAAATTTAAAATAAAACTATCAATTCTAAAAAAAAATCTGACAGTGGAAAAATGGTGTAGAATGAAGTAATTAATAATCAGCCCTGTAGGGAAAGGTATAACCTTGGGTTGTAAAATACATAATTTCTTGTTCTAATCCTATTTACACAAAACCCTACAAAAAGATGGAGGGCGACTTTTCCCATTTTCATCTTACCCCAAAAGTTCAGCCTCTTTTCAAACATAAACTCCAATAAAGCGTCTCTCTCTCCCCCCCCACCCAACACATAAAATCCTGGTGCGTTATCGCCTGTATTTTTGCACTGAAAACAAGCAAGATCAAGATCCGATGGTACTTTCTGGCGAACTCCAAAATCCCAATTATGCAAACGTGCATACATAATTATCCAAACAAACTTTGGCTTCCTCACCTTTGTGGCACTCAGCTCCCTTTGCAGTTAGAGGCCGTACAGTGGAAGAGATCTAATCAGCCAGTTTATTCTGGAAAGCACTCTCAACCCTCGGTGTGTGGGTGTCCAATAATGCCTCAGCTGTCACGCCGGGGGCTCAATACCCGAACAAACCGAGTTAACTCTCCGGTGTCAACACATGAATCACCATCTAATTCAAAGCAAACACGTAAAATGCCAAAAATCTCCCCAAATATAGCTCAGGACTTCCTCTTCCCGCACGCAGGTCCCAAGCTTTTGCCCAACTCTGAAACCAGCCAGAACTCAGCGGACTGAGCGACCCGGGAGGGAGGCAGCCTTGGTGCCCAGCGCTCACGGCCTTTCCGGGCGCGGGCCCAGCTGGGGCTCCCACGCAACGCCGCACGCCCCAGTCCGCTACCGGGGAGAAGCCGCGTAACAGGACCTCCCTCCCGCCAAGATCCGGGCCCGTTCCTGCCGCGCCGAGATCCAGACGCCGAGAACCCGGGGGTTCTGACACCCCGAGTGTGGAGCTCGGCAAATTGACCCCAGCAGCCATCCTCCGCCCGCCGCCGCCACAGTTAAACTGGTCCAGGGCACAGCCCCTCTCACCTGGAAGACCAAAGCTGCGACTGATCCGCTCACAAGTGCTGCTCTAGAAGCTGCTCTAAGGACTCGCAGGTGAGACGAGGGCGTGACCAGCGCAGGTGCGGCGGGCGGGGCTGGCGCCCGCGCAAACACGTGGCACGAGAACAAGCCCCGCCTCCGAGGGCGGACCGCGTCTCCGCGCCTGCGTGCTCTTCCGGTCTCTAAAGGGGCGGTCTCTAAACTCTGGCTCCGGAACTACGAGTCCAGATCGGGCAAGAGTCTTTTCGTTGCAGTTTTTTCCCGATTGAGGAAGCAGAGGTCCTAAGGTCTAGGGGGTGCCTGAAATATGGTTTTAAAGGAGACACTATTAAATATCCGATTAGCCTGGACAGGTGTAGCTCAGTGGAGCGTCCGTCCCCGGCAAACCTTCAGGTTCGATTAGGTCAGGACTCAGGCCGGGATTGTGAGCAAGGTCCCCGGTTGAGGACATGGGTGAGGCCACGGATCGATGTCCCTTTTCGATGTTGGCCTCCCTCTTTCTCCCTCCCTTCCCCTCTCTCTAAAAGTAAATCTTAAAAAATAAAAAATATCCAGTTATTCCAGCCCCGAGATAATGAACCTCCTCCCTCTTCCTTCACCCTGCTGTTCTCTCACTCACCTTGCTGATTGGGCTTTTCCGTTTAGGCCAGCTCTGCCCTTAGCCGTCCATAATGGGAGTTTTCTGCTATCCATCACCTTTATACTCAGGTTTCCCAAATCTGTTTCCAGGGCAGGTGCTCCCCATCCCCACCCCTACCCTTGGGCCACAGCCCTGCAGTTCGCGCTGTCCACTGCACTGTCCGGGTGGATATCCTGGACCACCTGAACCCGATGTGCGTTTCTTCCAGCCCTTCAGATGGTTTCCTAGGCTCACAGGTGGACCGAGGTTTCGATGTGTAATTGACTAAACGGGAGTCTTGCCAACCCCTTTTGAGATTAAAAAGTCCAGAAAAAAGTTTCGAGGCATGCTAATGCTGTTAATTACATGCATGATACAGTAGAGGACTATGTTCAGATGAAAATCAAAGATACATATAGATTTTACTTTTTAAAAAAGATTTTATTTTTAGAGAGAGGGGAAGGGAGGAAGAGGGAAACATCAATGTGTGGTTGCCTTCACGTGCCCCCTACTGAGGACCTGGTCTACAACCCAGGCACGTGCCCTGGGAATTGAACCTATGACCTTTTGGTTTGCAGGCTGGTGCTCAATCCTCTGAGCCACACCAGCCAGGGCAGGTAGATTTTACTTTCAGTCCCTGCAACTTTGGAGTTTTTGTTGTTTGTTTTTTAACTAGGGAACATAAAATTATCAATCTGAAGAAACCCATAAATCATTTATTTAAAAGTGATACTCTAAAAGGATCAAATTAAAAAATGAAATTGAGATAGATGAAAATGATTTGTAATGATGTGGTTTTTAAATTAACAAGTGCATCATAACTGAGACTTTGAATACTTACATACCAAATACACCTCAAACAATATTTTTCGTTAAAAAGTTTTGATTGTAAAAATAATAGAGCTCTTTGTAGGAAATACAGAAAACATAATTAAGAAAAATAGCCAATAATAGCACCACTCACAGATAATCCACTCAGAGATAACATTTCCTTACAAAGTCCTGCAAACTGTCTTTTAAAACAATTTGTATCTTGAGCCTTTTCCACGTCTAAAATTTCTTTAGTATTTTGATTAATTTTTTCTGCCTAATGGTCCACCTTCCCAGAAACATGTCATAATCGAACATTTTCCTGTTGTTGGATGATTGTTTCACTCTTTGTACTTATTATAAGTGATAATGGATTAAACAGCTTTGTACATAAATCTTTATGCACTCTCAAACATTTACTAAGAAAACTGTTAGATAGAAATGGAATTACCAGGCATGAGCTTAAAGATTCTTAATAAATATTGCCATATTGTTTTTCAGAGAGGTTGGTTTACACTTTCAGCAACATATGGTTGTGTGCCTGTCTCTCCAAATTCTTGACAGACTTGAGGAATGTTTATCTTCACTAATTCGATGACTGAAACTGGTTATAATACTAAAAAATGTGTAAAAAGAAACCCTTGCCTGTACAGAACCCCCTGCCAGTAGTTTAGCATGGAGACCTCATGGCCAAATATGGTCAGCTTTCCCTGTCCTGCAAGAAAAAGCAGCTTCAGAAGGGGAAGCTTTATTATAGGTGCTTTCTAGTCGACCAGTTTGCAATCCAGGAGATGTTAAATAACTTGCCAATACACTAGAGAAACATTGTAAGAATTTATAAAGATCTTTGATCACATGAGTTAACTGGTTACCTTATCTGATGGGACAGAGTGTCAAAATAGTTGAATTTTGCAATGGAATATTACAGATTTGATATTTTATGCATTCTCGAATTATGTAACTGTGGTAGTTAACCCTGTTTTATCATTAATTTCTGGTTCCACTCCTTATAATAATGCCACTTGAGGAATATAGAAAACAATTTTAAATGATATATTTAAAGAAAAACTGCTCAATTAAATAGTAAGCAATACATGCTCTCAGAATACAATTACAGTGGGAACAGATAAGTGTGACGCAATGAGTGAGCCACCTACTCCTAAAATGTATGGTCAAGAGCAACCCAGAGTCAAAGGAGAAAGGTGCTGGAGTAACTGAAAAGGTGGGTGTAAAGTGGGTCTTCAATAGGCTTGAAGAGTGGGCCAGCTGAGGAATGATAAGCTTGGGAAACACACAGTTTTCACAGTAAATACTCAGGGGTGTGGGGTTTTTGTTTTGTTTTCTTGCAGGCAAACCCACAGCCAGGGTTTCCAGAATAGTTGGGTAGTGCAGAGTCCAAGGTGTAGTAACTCCCTTGCATGTTGTTTCCAAAATTGTATCAAGTTCAACACATGCAATATATGTGTTTGTATATTACACTTCAAAAAGCTTTTAAAAATCAAGCAAAAAAGGAAAAGAACTTGTGGACACAGAATTGTGTGCTGATTGTGGGGTAGGGGGAGGGAGGTGGGTGGAGGTGGAAGAGGGTGTAAGGGGGTTAAATAGTAATGGAAAAATACAATAAAAATAAACATACACTATGCTGTATGTATGAAATACAAAATAATATTAAATGTAAATTGTAATTAGAAAAATTAAAACAAAAACTAAACATACATAGCAATCTCAAAAGATCATATGCTCAAACACTCACATGTTTTATGATTGCATTTATATAACAGTCTCAACATAACAAAATTATAGAGATGAAAAACAGACCAGTGGTTGCCAGGAGGCAGAGATGGCTGTGGGGAGAATGGGCATATGATTCTAAAAGGGTGCCACGAGGGAGATCTTTGTGGTGGCGAATAGCTCTGTATCTTGATTGTGGTGACAGTTACATAAACCTATACATGCCATAAAATGAAACAGAATTGCACAAAGGCATTGATTGCATCAGGGTCAATGTGCTTGTTTTGGTAGTGCGCTGTAATTAAGATGTAACAGTTGGGGTTAAAGGTGAATAGTACACAGGACCCCTCTGCAGTATCTTTATGACTTGATGTGAAACTGATTTTTTTTTAAAGTGAAAAAAATAATCTAAGAGAATGGTGCAGGGGTTCTCTCAGTATGATGTCATCATTCACTCGCCATACCTGGTACCATCCACAGGACCACTGTGGAGAACTCGGAGGATCAGAGGCACTCAGTCTGGGGGCATGCTGTTGTCCTTCTGCATTATGGAATATTCTCTGAACTCCTTTATCCTTTGACATGAAATAAACTTTACACCCTCTAACTGGCCCTCTTTCCCTTCCATTACCATGTAACGAGAGTTGAGCACAGTTCTCGTTGGCGGTCCATGTACAGGGTGGGGAAAAGCAGGTTTACAATTGTGACCACGTGAAGCACAGAATTTGTTCTCGTATTATTAATTATGACATTATTTTCCACACAAAGAACTGTAAACCTACTTTTGGCCCACCCTGCATAGAAAGGAAAGACCCAGAGGCTGCCAAACAGAGGACGAGGAAGGCTCAAGCTGGGCGCAGTGAGAACTGCGTGATGGGAGAAACCGCACACATGGCTGCAGATGCAAACACTAAAAAGGCGTGTGGTGACACTTGGGACATGGTGGTACATTTCTGTTGTGCCCTGTCTTCCTCTTTGACACAAGATACTTCTCTTGTTTGCAGATCTTCAAGTTCCAACTTCCCATAATGTATTTTTTCTTATTCGTGCTGTCTCAAATTGTTTGTTTTCCAGTATCTTCTTATTAATGCTCTTCCACAGAATTCAAGATGTTAAAAATGCGTTTTTGGAAACATACTCCATGTTTTTGGTTTCATATGGATGGTTTAGGATTGCATAAGAAGACATGACACTGTCGAATCAAGTTCGTTTAACAGTAGTCCAACTTACAGGGCTTACAAATCATGTCTCCCATTCACTGTAGTCTGGAGCACAGCACTGACGCACCAGAGCGTCCTGTCGGTTAATGGCCAGATAAAGTTAGGTCTGTATTCTAACCTGATTGTTTGGTATCAATATTTTTCCCGTTTTTCACTAATGACTTTCAAACTAAATTTTCCATAAAGCAAGACATTCCTTTAGTTTTTCTTACTTCTGTAATTCAAAGAGGGAAGGGCACTTATATTTAAAATAACGATAAAATGTCATACCAAGTATGGAAAACTCTATTTTTCAAAAATGACTACAACAATATTTACCATACTTCATGCTCTTCCAGGGCCCTGCCACTCAGTCATGAAGAAGTGAGGTTATGTCCCTTCCCCTTGATTCGCATGGCTGTTAAGACCGCCTTAACTCACGGAGTACAGATGCAATTTCCGAAATTAGGGCACGCAGGCAATATAGTCCTCGGCTCACTCTCCCTGTGCACTCAGCCACCATGCTGCGAGGAGTCAGCAAAGTCCATACTGCTTCCTTTACATGCCATGGATTTACCCTAATACTTTTCCCCAAGTAGTTTAAGTTATTAGACTACACTGAAAAATAGAAGCCCTATTGCTAATAAGTGTAATCTAAATGACACCATCTCTATTGTTTGAAGGCAGGGTATCTGAAGTGATACTGTGGAAG